TCTTAATTAATAATAAATTATCGAATACATGAAATATATCTTGATGAATTACAGATTAAATATACAAAGAATTCGACTCACATAATCAGCCTATTTAGAATTTGTGTCATGTTCAAGAAAGGTCGGTTGAATTTCGATCCAGACGATTATGTAAGGTTAAGTAAACAATTGATTTTTGATCCGTTCGTATTGTCAACTTTTTAAAATAAATTGTTCCCAAAGGAAATTTGATTCTCGTCGCATATCTTATAAAATTGTTGTCTGTGTTTACTAACTACAGTCTCTGAATAACAAAAGTTGGCTTAAATATATTATAAAAATCCTACATTTATTAATCCATACTGCATTACCAACAAGTTACCCGTGGAACACAAAAATAAGGTAAGTGTTACCATTGGATTTAGTAAAATATTTTAAGAGTTATGTTATCTTGAAAATAGCGATCATAATGCACCAAAACACAACTAGAATGAGAATATCAATATGGTTATAAAATTTACTACACGTTTTTCTTAGATTCAGTCTCTTTCTCAGATGAAGGCTTTCTTTAGATTATTGCTAAGTAATATATTCGAGGAGGCAATGGGGTATAGTGCTGAAGTTTGAAGTAGTGAAATTTTTCGGTTTTCAGAAATGTTTTCATTTTTCTGACCTCGGATATTGTAAAACCAACACAGTTTGATTTTTGCACTTGTTCGATATTCTCTGGAATCCAGTTTTTAACCAATTTATATGTGAATAATTAAAGAAAATGTGGTAATTGGCCGCTTTAAACATAAACGCCAGACCCCTGTAATTTCGCAAATTGAAAACTATAGAATCCACTGTAATAAACCGAAGGGCCAAAAGAAACTTTACCAAGGTTTGAAAACATAACGTAACGCTGAGCTGTCAAACTGCCGTCAACAATAACCAGTGAAATCCTCGCCTGTCGACATACACCTCCACACACCATTACACTCCCTCCACCATATGGTAAGGCCTCTTGAAAGCAACATGGCGCCGTCTGTTCACCCCTTCGACGGTAACTCTATACTCCCATCAGCTCTGAACAATCAAAATTGGCAACTTTAAGTATTGGGATAAACTTTAGTCTACGGTCTAAGATTGAATATTGAAGGGGATTGAGAATTTCATGGCACAAGATCACTACAGATTGTCCTAGTTGGGTCCCAAAAAATTAAGACCTACGTGTTCTATGAAGCTGACTTTCCCGAAACAACTAAAAAATGTATACTGTTTCTGGAGACCAACTGTCAACTGGCTCGAATTTAATTCAATTATAGTATTTACTAATTATACTGAATGTGTATTTAGGTTCTAAAAAAGGAAAAATTGAAATACCTTCAGTTAGTTCTATGGTGTTATAAGTGTATTTGTTTTTATATTGTCGTCTACCCTGTCCGTCTGTCGGGCCACCATTGGCTTGTCAACACAATAGAGTTTTTATCGGATTTTAATGAAATTTGTTGTCCAACTGATGAACATAATATACTCTTATTGACCTTTTTACGTCCATTTTAAGAGATGGTATTCTTTTAAGATGACATTCTAGCTCGTACTGTCGTAATTGGAACAGTAAAATAATAATGTCCTCTGATGTTCAGGTACCACACTCCGCCTATAGGTTTGTGTTGAATTTGCAGACGATGACCTGCTCTGAATCAAGTGACATATCCTTATAACGAAAAAAATGACAATTTTATGTATGGATGTTTTAATTGATCATAAATTTAATTAATATCAAGGCCTGCATACTTGGTACATTTAAAGTAACTGTTGTGTTGTAGTGAAGACATCATGTTGAAATGGTGGAGATTGTGGCTGTATAATTTCCTAATTCATATCTGCAGTAAGTAGCCTATCTCAGTCGTAGTAATTTATGTTCTTTATTATAACATCTGCCAATACTGTAAATGTCATAGCACTGTGTCAATATTTGGAAGCTTGGTTTGAAAGACTCATACCAGGTCGATGTTTTTCATTTATTTCTCAACATAATCCCTTCTAGGTTTTGCCAGAGGTGCTACAAGGTCTCGATGCGGGTCATGAAACGATTCCTTTAGCCATCCTTACAAATCCTTGCTAGAAAAAATGGCAACGGGCTAAACAGGTTTAAGTCCAATGGGGCCAAATATGGCCATAAAATCATGGGCATAAATTTCATTTTCATGAGACAATTGACAGGAAGACTGTAAACACAGTGGCTTATAATCTACAGACTTTCTGTGAAGGGCGAAATAGACGAAACGAATAAATTATGAACGAGTTAACCATACGATTAAACGAATAATTTTAAACCAGGACCGTGCACAACTCCGAGCATGGCATCGGGACCTTCCCATGGATTTCAAACCTTTTGAATCATCTAGCCTGTTAGCTTTCAACTCCGGTGCTTTTAAGCGTACAATATTTGAACATAAAAGTAAAACTTTCAGGTATCTGATAAATAAATCAATTACAGTTCAGAAATGTTATCTCAATATTCTCAATTTGTAAAATAATAGAACTAATTTATACCGCATCACGATATACCTGTTTATTATTCTATTGACAAAAACAACTTGTCACCTGTGATAGGAATTTGATTATATGAATGTTGTCGAGGACTCCTCTCATCAAATTTTGTCGACGAGTTGACTTCTGTCGACATGCCGACTGAAAAAGGGTCCCCATTTAAAGAAAGTGTACTCTCCAATTTACACTTTCTGCTAATCTAGGTTTATATGAGATACTCTCATGTAGAAACACTTTCATATTCCACAAGTATTAGAAATTATTTTAAATGGGGTTATTTTTTAAATTTGTATGAAAAAATTTTCAAAAAAAAAAAAAAAAAAATTTAAGGGTTACAAATTTAAGTAATTGTTCTCTGGCTCACTGATTTAAGATATCCAGGTGTGAAAGTTCAAACCGACAGTTTTGTATACGCTTAACGGTGTCCTCCCCTTAGTCAGACATCCAAATGGTTAGACAGCTTATAACAACACTTTAGACGGTTGAGTGCACATTAAGTCTAATGCTTGTTACCTCAGACAATAAAATGGAATAGCCCAGATAAGATTAAATAAGGTTAAACAAACCAATACAACTTAAAATAGATACTTTAATATTTATAATAATAATAACAACACTTTGCAAACAAAACAACTTCAAATAGACACGTCACTTCAAATCCTTTTTTGGTCATCACCACTTTTAATAACTGGACATTTCGGGATCATGATCCCCAACAGCAGACTTTTCATCCTGCTGCAGCTGCTCTTTGAGGCGTACCAGGCGGTTCTCGGTTTCTCTATAGAGAAAGTGTGTCAACTTTCTGGAGGACTTGTATTTGTTCTGTTGTGGAGAACGCAAGCTTCCTGTCGTCGCCGCCGTCATGGAAAAGTAGAAAGGGATGTCCATCTATTGTCTCAGTCCATTTGTCTTCGATATCTACTTCTGACCTTCAATTGGGTAAGGATGAAATGGTCTGCGACGATGTCTGTAAAGTGCACCTTTTATGCTCTATCCATCTAATATCAACTGCTTACTTCAACGTTGAGAGGCGATGTATTCTACTTTCCTTAAACCATTCATATCGATATTGATAATAATGAAAGATTGGGTAAACTTATTAATTTTTTTGATGAGTAGATAAACGCCTTTAACTAACCAAAAAGTAAGATAATTAAGCTACTCCAAAGCCACCCATGCTTAATGAACCTATGCATAGAGTAATCTATTACACTTGTAGGCATATTTCCTCTTTGTATAATTAACCATGTCTTACAATTGGGATGACTCTATGAGATAAAACCAATTTTTTTTTATTTACTTAAATTCATCAAAAGTTAATGATTTGAATTTTTATAGCAAACCATCCGTGACACATATCGTTGAATGAGAATTCCAAATGCATTCTAATAATGTAACCACATTGATGTGGGATAAATACATTTGATGCTAGGACTGGAGCTGAAACATTCCACATGCATTATTGCTTTATATCTTTACAAAAATTTAAGGCCATTAATAATCTGAAAAAATCAAGCCCCTGTGTTTATTAGAGAATGTGGTATAGTAGTTCAAAGTTGCAAAAATGTCAGATTTCGGTGGGCCATAAATCAGAAAGTTGATGTTTTTCATCCAATATCAGGATATCAATAGATAGCTGAGGTCGATGACAATCTACATTGCACAAATTCAAGTTCATTAAAGATCAAGGTAACCAGATATAAACTTTTAAATTTACAAAAAAATCGAACGGGCATGAAAAATAATTTAAATTCGAAATCCAAATTTCTGTTCCAAGCAAGTTTTAGATAAAGTAACTTGGTTTTAACAGACACCAAAATCATTCAAATCGGATAATAAATTGCAAACTTGTTAAAATTTTAACGAAATTGCGCTACTCTCAGGTAACGACGCATGTGTCACTTCTGGCTTGAATGTTTCCTTCTTACTTGATTCAAATAATTATTATAGACAATCTGTACGGTTTTTACCGGAAACGGTGATTTTGAGAAATGCAAGTTTTTTTCTCTTTAAAAATTTTCAAATCTTTAGAATGTTCGTCATAAAAAAGAAAACTCGGCATAAAACGGTTCACAAATAAGCTCTACAAACATTAATGCATTTAAAACAAGCATTAAATCAGAATTGCTCTACCATATCCAGTTTGTTCTTGAAAGTTTCCCGAAAAAAAATCGATTGCATAGCAAACCGTGACAAATGGATAAATCGATTTGCCACACATAAATTATAATCAATGTGGTCTTTCGTTTTTTTAGACTGTAGCATCTATAATGTCGCAATAAACAAGCTTGCCCAGCAAAGTAGCACTTATGCTAGAAACGACGCACCAAGAGCAGTAGATGGTATCGATGGACTCCTGTATTC